GTTTTCCTTGTTCTTTCTTATATTAATTATTTTGCTTTCAAGGATTTCGTGAAACTAAGTGTTTTGTTTTATTGATGATTAATTCTTTGAATTTTTGTTCTACTGAGAAATTATTTATAGAGATAGGACAACTACTGAAGACTTTTCATCTAATATGAAAAGAAATTTGGTTTGTTTTGAATCAGAATATCGCGAACAAAAATATGAAGAGATTATGTGCAGAATTCGAAAATTCTACATGGAACAAGATGAATATAGAGTGAAATTAGTGACACGCAAAAATATGATGCTCATAGGACGAACACACGCGGGGAAATCTACAATCAGATTAATGCTCTTCAATCCGACTATAGTATCCGATCAACCCACGTTTTTTTTCACCTCAAGAACATTGTGTCTATGGATCGCTCTACATTGATGGTGCAGTGTATGTTTTAAATATCATCGATACACCAGGTATGTTTGAGAAAGTGCGTCTGTAAATAGCTATTCGCGGCAACGAAACTATTTTAGGAACAATAGAAATGTGTGTTCATCATAAAGTTACAAAGTTTCACGTGATCTATTTTTGTATCTCACTTGAGTCTGGTATTAATGCAGAAGATGTACATTCAATTCAATTAGTGCACGAATTTTTTTCGCAACAATATATCACACAATTCCTGTCTGACCATTACACAGTGCGAGTCGAAAAGTGACGAATTCTGTGCCAGAATATTTGTTGAATTACGTGACAGCCCTAATTTCAACTCGATTATACCACTTTTTGAACTAGGTGTCTTCTTTGCTGGTTCACTTGATCGTAATGACTATAATTTTGGTAACAGCGTCCTCTACTAGTAATTTGAAAGAATTGCCGCATATCGTACGAAACTGATCGAAATGATCATGAGTACCATTGATCCCATCTCCATTCACGATTTGACTATCAGAGAATGATCCAGACACTTGAAGGTGAGGGTGTGAATGGTTTCTTCACTCATACCCATATCTATATTCTCCCGTTTAATCACGATTCTTATTCTTCAGCGATAGTCTACCACCTAATAGTTGATCTATGAGACTGATTACTGTTTACACCTTTTCAGTTCAATAATTTATTGAAAATTAATTGAAAGACATCGAATGATAATCATCACAAATATATTGCAATCATGTTCAATGTTTTCTGGCTATATTCAAAATGATTATAATAATAGTTTATAAATTATTTAGAATATGCTCTATTAAGTTTGTCTGAGCTTTAGAATTTGTTAAAGCCATCTGTGCTTCAATTGTCCTCATAAAATTTATTTGAAAAACAAAAGAAACTTGTCGTTTCTTCTAAGAAATCCAACATGAGAAGAACAATCTGTTAATTAATGTGCTTTGTTGAGTTGCGGTTTTCTATGATTTGCATATTTGTAGGGAGCAACTCGTTCTTCATAGTGAAGATGTGGTCCAGTTGATCTTCCTGTGTTTCCACTCTTACCGATTACATTTCCTGCTTTGACGCTTTGTCCAACTGTAACTAGTTTCTGACTTAAATGTGCATAGAGTTGACGAACTTTATCTGATGATTCAATGACGATATGAGTGCCATAATCTGAACCAAAGTTCACATCTTTCACCGTGCCACTTGCTGTAGCGTGGACACTAGTTCCAATTGGACATGCATAATCATCTCCAGTGTGATAACCAGCAGCCCAACTACCAGGTTTGCCAAACGGAGTGGTAACTTTTCTGCCTGGAAGGGGCTCATGAGCAAAGACTACCAAACAGAGAACAAGAAGTAAAAAGCAGTAGAAGTAACTCGACATTTTTTTTTAAGCTATCGAAAAATAAATTGTCGTTTAGTTTTTATACGATCGACACAAGAGAAAAGGATCATGTGATTAGTTTTTTTAATTTTATGAATACTTTTTTGTAAATTGATGATAGTGTAAAACAGGTGTGTGTTGTTTTTTAGAGTGTGCAAGGAAACTGATATTCTGAGGACAAAATTGTGTGGGTGATAGTAAAGATTGATGTAGAACGATCTGGAAATCATGAAGAATAAAACAATAAACAAGAGAAACGCTCTTTGATTTTTCTCCAGATTTTGCAATTTAAGATTTTGCGTTCTTCGACCATTTTTGATTTCGCTCGACAGATAACCAACATATAGTTTACTTTTTCTCATAAAGAATATGATCTAGAATAAGAACTTCTTTTTTATTCTCACAAACCAATTTACACTCTTATCGAGCATAGTGATGCTCTTTTTTCATCTCTTATATCACTTTATGTATGTGCACGTGGAGCCGTTTAATTTCTTTTGCGTTTCGTTTTTTTTTCTATTTCTCAATCACAATAAAGTATTAAGATGGTGTTCCCTATCATTGTACTTTTTGGTGGTGAAGAGAGGGTGTCTATAATAAAGACAAAGGAACTATCGACTGGTTTGTTAGTCAAGATAAGAAAAAAGTGAGATTTTACTTTCCATAAAAAGATAGAACATATCATTTTCAAATAGATGTGACAGATTCAACCAAGCTTGCCATCACAGAATGATATAAACAGTAAAGTGATATGCAGAATCATATTACCAATTCTATTTGGTGCATACGTGAAATTATTTTTATCTAAACCATTATTATGTTCTTGTCTGCATTAGGATAACTTTCTTCTGATTTCTTTGATTGAAACTAGAACCTTCACGATGTAGAAGAATTGAATACGTCGAAGGAAGTTGAAGTTTCTCCACAAATATCTTCGAATGAAACAGATAAATAAACTTTCATTATTACATAGTTCATGCAGTACAATAAAATCGAAGAACAAATTTGACATAATTCTTTTTTAGTTGTAAAGAGACTGAAATGAATTAGTAGTTAAAAAGAGGTGATGAACAGATTGTTTGTTTATTCTTGAATTTAAATTTCTTTGAAGTGCTTTTCAGTTGAATCTTAAGAGTTTTTACGTTTTATACAGTTTAATATTATTGTTGATTTATCAATAGTTAATTTTCATATCTTCAAATTATCTGAATCATTTTATTACTGTTTTGGAACGTAGAGAATGGACTATGAAAAAACAACGAGTATTTTGTCAACGAAATTATTTTCTGTTGATGATTATTCTATCTTTCAAAAGACAAGATATTCTTCTGTTTATATTAAATCGATTATCCTTAAAGTTTTAGTCTATATAAAAACTAATTAAGCATGAGTATGACAAAACTAAAATCCACATTCTCTTGTTTTGAAATATATTAATCTAACAATGGTGTAAAATCTGGATCGCCTTTTTTCATAGCTCGCTGGTAACCAGGGCGTGCACCAATCCGTTTTAAATAGGCACGTATATTAGGATATGAGGTCAAATCAAATGGTGAAAAAGCCCGCATTGTTGTCAATGGAAAGGCCATCATAATGTCTGCTGCAGTGAATTCATTTCCAGCAAAATAATCATTTGTACCTAACCGTCTTTCCGCTAGATCCATTGCACGATAAGCACGTTGCTGTAATGTCTCAACTATAGCATTGGAATTTTCTGTGTTACCAGCAAGTAATTTGACAACCAAATCAACAAGAAAAGCTGGCATCATTGAACCATTTGCAAAATGATACCAGAATAAATAGTCGGCAAAGTTTGGATTATCAGGTTTCACCTTGAAACGATCATTACTATATTTCGAAATTATATAGTCAATAATTGCTCCAGACTCTGCCAATATCACATTATCGTCGACAATAACAGGAGCTGTTCAAGTTGGATGAAGTTCTTTGTATTCTTTCGGAGCAAGACGAGTTTGAGGATCACGATCGTAACGAATAAGTTGATAGGGAATTTCTAATTCTTCGCATAACCAAACAATTCGTTCTGATTGAGAAATACCGAGATGATGAATAATCAGCATTTTTTCAGAGAAAGTCTCGTCAGTAAGTCTAAAAAAAGTCCAAAAACTTTCTTCTACTTTGTCCAGTCACGAAGTTCAGACAATAGCTATTCAATCAATATGTTTCGTACATGTAAAACTCGAATATCTTTCTCGCGTTTTAAAAATGTTATTTGAATTTTCAAAAGTTAATAATCTTGAAAAGGAGGACACAGAGTGGACCAACGGGTAAACCTGTGGGTGAGGATGAAATTTAATGATTAAAAAGGTAAAAATGCGTGTAAAGTGTTACAACTCGAATCGAACTAAAGATTTCTACACTACAACAATCCATGAGAGCAAAAAAAAGAGAAAAAGAATGAAAACAAGAAGAAGCTTTTACTATACCCATATAAACACAATAGATAAGGAACATGTGCACATATCATATAACAAAACGAAAAGAAAAAGAAACCGAAAGAAAAAAAGAAAGCTAAGCTAGTTATAATCAAGATAAACCTATTCACATACACTCATATGCCATTATCGACGACAAAGATTACATATAAAGTTATTATCTTGATTCATTTTCATCAACAATAAGCTGTTACAGTCAGACATATAGGCAATACCTCCCCAAACGATTGACAATCACTCCTTAGAAGCAATAAGATACTGTCCGATTATTTCTGTTACATTGCCACTAATTAAGATCAGGAAAAATTTTCTCTATAAAATAATATGTTGATCAATAAAGTGTTTTCATAGTACCGAATGATATGAAACAAATAATAATTAGAGCTCTTGTTCGTATTCTCCTATCATGCCTATCCTTTTTTTGTTTTTACATAAATTTGTTCTTCTTGACTTATTAATGTTGGCGTCGTTGATAACATCAGTCATGAAGAAAAGACAGTAGTGTCTATCAACAACATGGATGCTTAGTACTCTTTCATAGTATACTGTATATTCTTTAGTGCTATGCCTACACTGCTTCTATATATGTTGCAGTTGAGTTTGGAATTTAGTTGAGGTTGAAATCACTTACTTTATTTTGTTTGTTTAAAAATTTTTCTAGCACGTATTCAAGAAAACTTGTTTGTTTCTTGTCAAATTTATATTTAGTATTACTTCTTGAACAATAAAAAGTATCTTCGTGCTGTTATTTTGTTTATGAAAAGCCATTAGTCATTCTATTTATTGTTTTCTTCTAAAAGTAAATCTTACTCATCATTTTCCTTATATTGTGGTTTCTGTATTGGTGTTCAGGACATGGGGACACTGAACGATTGGTTGAAATGAAATCGAGAGTATTTGAGCTATTTGTTTTTTTTTGTAAAATAGTTCTTTTTCCGATGCTCGTGATATGGAAGATTGAATAATTGGTTAAATATTTAGTGTTAGCAAATTCATTGTTAAAAAATTGAAATTGAATGATTCATGCTATTTAGAATAGCAGCCGATCTGATGTTGGATTGAGTGAGTAATAATTGGACTATAAAAGGATTGTTGATTGTCTATTCAATCGACTTATTATGGGAAAGTTTATCAATGTAAGATTGTAGCTTAGAATTAAGAATGCTTATTTTTTTGTAAAAGATTCACATGAAAAAAAAATTTATGTAATTAAAAACAAACAGACATCGAATGTGTTTCTTGATTGAATATTCCATAGCAACGAACATCAATCAATTAATTATAAGAAGATGAATAAAATTCATAAAATTCTAATACTCACTAAATAAGAATGGTTAAAAATGAAAACTTTCTATATGTAAATATTTTAAAATAATTCAAAATAAATCATAGAAGTTCGACCAGTCATTTAGAATCGCTAAAATTACAAAAGTTGAATACAATAGCAAACAAACATTAACTATCGTGTGATTCATATTATTAACATGCATTCCAAACTCAACTGAATTCCCATGTCAACTATGAAATATATTTAAAAATTTTTAAACAAAGTTCTTGGGTTAAAATATACTGAAAACTGTGTAAAGAATATATCAAAAAACCCGCATTTTTTACATTTTTTATAGGAAAAAAGAATGGCTTCTTTTTTACATTAAATTCAGCTATTTTCCATTAATATCCTTATGTAAGGTGTTTGAAAATATACTCATTCGATACAGTGTGAGAAACTGCATCGAATGAGTATATTTCGAAACGCTTGAGGGAGTAAAAATAATTAAAGAAAAGCTAATTTTATTGAAACATCTAGTGCGTTTCTTCCATATCAAAAATATGAGTTTTTTAAAGACTTTTCGAATAGATTTTTGAATTTTTTATCGCAAAAAACCGGTTTAAAATTTTTTAAATATATACAGTTTTGTAGAGCTCGACGAACTCTATCGAATCGTATAAAAATATTCAAGAAATAAAAATTTTACTTCATTTTTGAATTGCTGACACCTTACTTTCCCACCACAAAAAAAGTATAAAATTTCTGAAAGTTCCTTAAGTTCGATATTAAAAATTTTTTATACCCCTCATGATTTAATATCAATAAATCCCATTTTTGACGAGCTTTCATTTGATATAAAATTCATTATGTCTTCTATTTCCAATCAGAGTGTTACTTCCCTGGAATAATATTTTTATCCACCTAGTATACATGTGTGCATATACGCATGTATGTATATCAATGAATAGTAACTTCCCATATGACTGACATTCTGGCTATATTTATCTAACGATTTTTGTTTTCATTGACTGATTTGGTCAATTCATTTTTTATGGCACTTTTCTCTAAGTGTCTTGCACCAATACTAAATTTCAGCTCTCTACCTCATATCATCGCTGAATCATGATATCCACGGTGAAAATAATTGTGACTTTTATACTCATACGAAATAATTTTTACATATACTTTTTGTAACGATTAAGAAAGCATTCATCATCGTTGTTTTGATTTGTGCATACTGAAATATATCACTAATACGTCGATTTGAACGTCGTTTGAGTTGGCTAAAAGCATCCAAGAGTACATTTCTTATGAAAATTATATTGAAAATATAAGGAAGAGAAATCGCAAATGATAAAAATTAGAATAACTCATGAAATTTGCTCAAGATTACGTAGCTAGGCGATTTTGACGGCATGGGTACTGACATCGTTTTTGCGATTTCGTCTTGATAGTGGCTTCTGTTTAATAGCATTCATGAAATATATTAGCTGGTCCTCAATAATATGTTCATTTTCTTTTTGTCCATCAACAAAGCGATTCTATCCGTAATCGTTATGATCTTGAAAAATTGATCCACTACGATCTACCAAGACTTATAATATTGTGCGTGTGAGCAACAACATAGATGTATATCTCTTATCAGAGTGAGAGTAAGATAAATCCTATTGCAAATATTCTCAATGAAATACAGAAGTTTTTGAAGTATTTGTCAATTTATTGGCGGCATGAGGCCACGACGTGAATCAATATTTTAATTTAACTATTGATTTTTATTTTTCTTGATCGAATATAAGTGAATATTAAATTTACTTTAAGAAGAGAAAGTCGTAATTTGAGAAAGTGGAGAATGTCGGCAAAGGAGTATTTCTAAAGGAATATAAAACTCTTGAAAATTAAAATCACTTTAAATTATAAAATGAGTTCTTTCAATGTTATACACGATTATTATGTGTACGAACGAAGACGATCATCTGACTTTGGCGAATGATAAGTATCGAAGCGCTTAAAAGTAATAAAGCTTTTATCTATAAGATTTTTTCTTTACTTGTTGCTGTTTACAGCTGGCAAGATATGGCTCATTATTTGCTGTATCTTATGCACTTTGCTTTTGATTGGAGGAATTTTGGCGATTCTATTAGTGTTTACAGTTGGGAAACAAGGCGTCGAGGAAGCTACAACACGAAATACGGTGGTAACCACTCGTTCAACGTGTAGGTCATAAATAATCAGTTTAAGAATGATTGGAACACTATTGATAAAAGCTATCTATTTTTTTAGCTTCTGTAAATACAAGTGCTTTTGTCACTTCTACTGCATCAACATCAACTACTACAATAAGTCCTGGTAAATAATGAGTCGATAAATTTGTTCTATACAGACTGATACTGGTCAAAAAATGCTAAATAGCATCGAAAACTGTCGTTATCCATAACTGTAATCATAATGTTTTTCTTTTTATAGTGCCAACACACTTTTTATGTGGCGCATCAAATTATAATCTTACTTGTGACATGCCCAACTGTAAATGGACTTCTTCTGTCATCTATTCATGTCCATGTAAAGCTACGAACGGTTCACTTATACTCGGTCCAGGTGTAGATTTTTCAAAGAAGAAACAATGTGATCTTTCCAATCAAGGAGGTATATTAAACTGTGGAAAATGTTCGTAGCCTTTTTTGTGTAAAAATACAAACTAATAAAAGTCAAAGAAATGACAAATGTTAAACGCCTGCTTTTTGGTGAAGTAACACTTTAATGTATTTTTATAACTGAAAGTCGAACAGTAAATCCTGTTTCTAGCTCACATGATAATCTAAACTCATATACAAAACTCGAATTCGACCACTTTTCACTCTGCCTGCGCAGAGGGGATCCAATAAAAAGAAATAATCCTCCATTAAACAATTTTAAATTATGGAAATAGTTATGATTTAATCGCCCATAAATTAACTGCAAATCATGACAACAACGCCATGGCTAGAGTCCGACGTAACCAAGGTTATTGGTCACGGTCACGACCCGTGGCCGTGAGCCACGAAAA